GAAAAAACAAGCTCACGTTTATTTGTTCCCACACAGGGCTTTTTGTCATGACAGTCTATAAATGCCTACCTTGACATGCCATCAAGACTTCCCTCCCTTAAAACATTTTTCTCAGCCTCTTTGGCCATGGAAGCTGTGGGTGTCATACTCAGACAGTGTGGCTTTGAGGGGGGAGGCATGTACTCCTCCTCAGAGATTGAAAATCAAGCATTCATTATGGCATATGCCATCGAGAATGACTTGTTTTTATATTCTGCTCAGTGAACCAAGATTACCTACTTCACTGCAAAGAACTGTGTAGCAGACCATCTCCTTTGTTTATTCTGTTTTCAGACAGACAAAAAGCAAGCTTGATGAGTGACATATAGATGCCTTAAAAAGTTGTTAAGTAGAACCCACTCCAGAGCTTCACCCTGTCTCTGATAACATGGCAATCCCCTACACCTCAAAAGGGAAACTGCCTTACATCTTACCAAAAATGCTTTTCCCCCTTAAAATATAGTGGCAAGGCTAATTTTCTTGTCAGTGCAGGTTACAGCTTGTTGGTCCAGATCACATTTGCAGTGGGAAGTAATGTAATGTAATGCTCCCTTTTCATTTCTCCTGGCTAGCAATCACTTCATCTCTGAAGCAGAGTGCTGTGTGAGTCTGCTCTATAAAGCCCTGTCTCATGAGCACTGCAGATGTCCTCAAGGCATAAGTCTGAGAGTAGTCCAGGTAGCTGTGAACACCACCTGAGTGAGGCAAAGGATAATAATAAAGATGGCAGAAGTGTCTATACTTCACCAGGTTATTCTCCTTTGGTTTTGGTTTTGTTTTCTATATTTAAAAAGGTCAGCGTGCTCCAGCTTTAAAATAATGATGGATAAATCAATTATTACAATTTCATCAAGAATTTTTTGAGCCTTACCTTTAATAAGATCTCACCAAAAAAAGCTGTTAGTATACCCAAGTTACTATCATTCAGCAGCTGAGATAGCTGTATACAGCAGGGTCCTTTCCATCACACGGACACTTGAAGTTTGGGTTGGTGATACTAATAGCACACCCTTGAACTGTGTCTCCATTCTTCAACATGACACTAAAAGTGGACTGTGCTGCTCTGGAGCATTTTGTCAGCTCACAGTGATTGAAATATCCTCCCTGAGGCTCTTTTCTCCTTAATATCATGCAGAATTTCTGCCTTCTCTTTTAAAAGAAATTTCCTTCTTTAACTTCTCTAGGGTCACTGTATACTGGTATAGAAAAACAGGTACAAGACAGGTCTCTCTTTCATGTTAAATTTCTGTACATTTCAATTCTCCATAGAAAATCATCATAATTTCTGGATCAAATTACCTTGTTTTAACTACTGACAGGATCAAATTAACAAGAAAAAATGGAATATAAAATGAAACACATTGTAATAAGGGTGTGACACACAGAAGTACTTCTAACAGACTGAACTCTCTTCCCCTGTTCAGAAAGGTACCTGCACATTTCCCGACCTTACAGCAGGCCAATAATGAACAGACAAATTCAACAGGCTGAAAAACGCATCTGAATTTAACTACACCTCTGCCTCCAGTGACTGAAAGCCTCTTGTCTCTTGGATTCGGTCACCTGCCAAGTTCAGAGGACACAGGCATGAAACTACTATTTCCTACAGAAACTTGTATTCAAAGAGTTGATTCTATGAAAGGACTGTACACTATGCAGACAACATAGAACATCAACAATCAACAAGCTGAAACCACTACATTTCTGTCCTTTGCAAATCAAATACACAGACTTGGCACATCTACACCGTGCACTAAAGCAAAAATAAAATGTCTAAGTTACTGGGGATCTTGCCAGCCCTGGAACTGACATAGTATCCTCAGAAAGAGAAGTTGTTTACTCAAAAGTTAATACAACTCTCTTACTTAGAGAGCTAAACTATCTCTGTGTGGTATTATGCCATACAATACAGACGTAACACAGTTACTGCTTGCTACTGCAAGGGTCTCTACTCCCTTAAAGCACTTCGTAATCACCTTCTTCCCTTTTGATACCCAGAAGAGCATCTTCAGCAGTACAGGGGCCTGAATGTCCATTGTCTGCTTGTGCTCAGCCTACCTCGAATTTAGTACACAAGCATTCATGAACAAGGAGTTTCTGAACAGATTCAGCTTAGGTTCCCAAATTTATCAAATTATTACACTAAGCACAAGGTCCTTTCCTCAAGTATTTACTTCTTCCTTTGCTCTAGCAAACACCAGTAATTAGCAGCAAATAAAAGGCCAAAGAAAGCTGCCACAGTAATATTTAACTACTAGTTTTAGAGAAAAGGTTAATCTTTGTGTATGTTTAAGTGACGACATTGAAATCCAGAGTTCTATACCCTCATTTCAGATTCTAGTTCTGCTTTCAACATCCCTTAAAAACACAGAGATAACAGTCCTGTTTACTGTTTTGTCTGGTCACATTTATTCATTCCAGTATTTAAATCTTTAAAGTTTTTTAAGTTCATCTGGAGCAGTGTTGAGGGTGGAGAAACAGAGGACTGTTAGCTTTCAGCAAGTGACAGGTGTCTTGGCCACTTCTGTATCCTTCCAGCTATTACAATACTTATGTAGTAATTAAAGATTTTAGCATTCATGTTCTCCACCTTACTTACAGAATTTGCCACCCTTCCATTTCTTCCACAAAACACATTTGACACATCTGCAAAATTATTTAGACTTAGAGATCCATTTGCAAGTCATAATCTCATTTCAATGAGTAGTACATTATGGTCAGTAAACTAAATGTTGGGTATACTTTTATGAATACCTATTTTCAAATCATTTGAACAAATTTATATGTATATAGATATGCAAAACAGGCAGAGTTAACAGATGTTGCCCTCTAAACTTTAAAGCCTCATCCATTACTTTGGAGCTACAGAGGTAGGTATTTAAGTTCTTAAATAAAATATACATTTCAGAATACAATTCTATAAATAGTAGCAATTTTTTAAGGGCTTGGTATACTTATGGTACAGAAAGATTCCCATAAAATGTCTTCTAAAATAGAAGCTTTGATGGATAGGACCCAGTAGTTTAAATCAATATACAACCTTGAGCAAAGCAATGTTGGTGCAAGTTTTATATCTCTAGATCTTACTTCGTAGTCAGGTTCCACAAAGCCTAAACTCAGAGCTAGAAGAATTCACTTTGTATCCTAAGTACAACAGTATAATCTGTCATGGGAAAAGGACAATTTGGAAACCAGTGCAGTACTGTTACAGCCATATGGAAATCCATTGTGGGAGTGATTGGTAGTATATGCATGCACTATGACTTGCTTCTGTGTAGCAGTATTAACTGGCATAACTAGTATAAGGAAAAGGCTAACTTACAATTCTGATTAAATTAGTAGACCTGCTTTGTATCAGTAATTTCATCCTGGAATGCCATATATTCCTATTTCTCACCTAAGCCAACGGGAAAAGGGTAAAAAATAGTTAGAAATGCACCACCGAACAACCAACCTCCACATCCTCCATTCCTCACAGCCCTAATAGAAGATCTCCAGCAGCATTTTCCTGCATTTTAACCACATGATGCTATTTACAAACAATCTGAACAGTCAACATGAGTTACCATTATGTCTTTTACGCGTTACTGTTTCTTTTAAAGTGATCTGTGCATCTCAATGCCCCAAATTTGGAAGTGGAGCATTCCTGAATAACAACTCCCTGGTATACCATTTCACCTCATATGCAGAAGTTTCCTTCACTGATGCCCTGGAAGAAGTAGTGGAAGGCATTAGATTGTGGAATGGTCAAAAGACCAAAGCAATGTGGAGGATGTTGCTATTCAATGACATTACTTACCTTTCCCTGTAAAGTTAAATCCTTGTCTGAAGTTTACTGCTTTTCAGTCTGGGAATAATTTCTTTTTGCTTCCTCAGCTTGGAGAGAACAGTGGCAATTCTGGGTTCAGGCTGAGACAAGAGACCATTAAGTGTGCCAGAAAGATGTCTTTTAAGGGAGGTAACAGCTGAGCTGAGCATTTCTGTATCACAACTTCAGGTGCAAGCATGTATATCTCACCTTAAGTTATTATTTTTAATTTGACTGTTAAGTGCCCTTAGATCTTCCTAACCTTTCTGAGGCACTGTGAGGATAAATACATCAAAGGCCTAAGGCAAAAAGGTACCGTCACACTTGGAGTTAAACCCCAGACAGGCAAGAGACACACTCAGTATTCTCAGTATTTCTTCACCGGTCATTGAAAAATGGAAGTTCAAATCATTAAAAAAAAAAAAAAAAGGAAAAAAACCAAAAAAAGCAGGAAAAAGCTGTATGCCTTTCTCTGGCTGAAAACACTGAAGTAACTAATTATCTACATGAAGCAGAAGATTCTGACTGTAAGTAATTACTTATGAAAAGTGACACTAATTTATCTAACTCATCTTCTCTCACCTGGTCCCCTCCACATTCAGCTATGCACTCTCTGAACCATTTTCATGTAGGTTAGCTTTTGAGGATCAGTAATTTTAAATAGCTTAAAATCTACTCATGGCTTAACAATCATAGAATCATATAATAGTGATAGCTGGAAAGGACCTTAAGATCATCTAGTTCCATGGGCAGGGACACCTCTCATTAAACCATGTCACCCAAGGCTCTGTTCAACCTGGCCTTGAACACTGCCAGGGATGGAGCATTCAATGGAAAAAATGAGTGGACTTCAAACCTATTTCCTTTATGAGGGAGCAACGGCTTGCATTAATTTTCTTGTCAGCAACCAAGTAGAATAATTTCCCCAGTTTGATCCTCAAATCTGTACTGAATAACCATGTTTGTTCTTTCATTTAGGAATCTTCTGAAAGGACGGGCAAATAATTGTAACACAAAAGTTCTGAAAGTGAGAAACACAAGTCGCTGCTGTTCAGATATTTACTACTTGTAAGTTATTTAAAAAAACCCACCAGATCGAACACATAGTTACATCATTTCCCTTTCTACCAGCACAAGAGTCTTCCATATTCTCAGCAAATGTAATACAGAAAGGAAGAAAGGTAAGAAATTTTAAAAATGAATGAGAACTGGGGGGAGAGGAAGAGAAGTTAGAAAGACATGGCCTTGAATAATGAGGCAATGCAGAGAAGGTTAATATTCTATGAAATTACTTACCTTTATCTGCAAAGGTAAGTTCTAGTCTGAAGTTTATTGGCTTTCAGTCTGGGAATAACTTCTTTATATTTCCTCAACTTAGAGGAAACAGTGGTACTTGCAGCAATGCTAAAAAAGCAGGCTTAGTGAGTGGGTTTAATTTTAAATATCAGGGACGAAACAAGTCACCAAGCAGGCCTTAGAGTGGAAATAGGAATTTTAATCTTTCGTCCTTCCTGCTGTAGCTCACAGAAAACAGTGCAGACTGGCTACAGAAGAATCATGCCAAAGAACATATGAGGGCTCATTTTATGAGATCGGTTTTGGAGTTGCAATTCTAAGGTAAAGTAACTTTATTTAGCTATCCATCTTTGAATGATTAATCCACTCACGGCATGAACTTCAAATGAACTACACAAATCTGAGCCAGGTCTATGTTTTATAAAAAAACAACAAAACCAGAAATAGGGGAAGAAGTATGAGATCCTGCAGGCGTTTTGCTCAGACAGGCTTAGTGTTTCTTAAAATATGGTACTCCTGATTATGCTCATAAGGTCTGGAAAAGGGTAATGCTACAGTCTTTACTTACACAATAATATGACATTACATATGTTATTTGAGAAGCATTTCACCGGTGTAGGCGAACTATCCACATACAAAAATAGACACTTTTTGGATCCAGGAGGTGATGTACAGTTTCTTGAGGAAAAAAACACCCAACAAACCCCCCCAAAAACAACTGTCCATGTTTCTCAACTATTAAATGCTAGCAAAAATGCTAATTGTAATATTTTTAATTGAAACATACAACATAATTATATTGGAATTTTAACATACAACACCTTTACGGGCAACTGCTATTATACTAAAGAGCTGTACATAGGAGCCATGTTTTGAAAGCCAATAACTCAAAATGGTTCTTCTTTCAATCTGATTTAACTGCTTATTGAGAAGCAGGAAGAAAGAAGAATCTTTTATTCAGCATTTTAAACAATATATAAGAAAGAAGGAGAAAGACTATAATAAACAACTTGGAGCCAGCCAAAAGTTGCAACATCTTTTTACAGGAAAAGATGCTTGGTGAAAATTGCATTTACTTTTCCATCCAAAAAGACACTTCCATAGGAATATAGGAAATTTTAAGAACCATTTTTACATTCGAGGTAATTTTTCTTCAGTTCCAGTGCCACCAAATATAACTGCAATGTGCAATCAAAACTTTTTAGTCATTCTGAAAATAATTTTCTTTTTCATTTGTTTGCAAAATGCATTTTTGTCTGCTCTTCCCATTCCTCCTCAGACGCAGGCGTGTAGTTCTGATAAAACTATATACTTCATTATTAAGAGAATAGCTGGCAAACCTATAAACTATGCAAATAACATTTGGATTGCAAACAACGTTTACTACACTTGGCTGATGGAAGAATGATAATTCCATTCACTAAGACCATACTGACTACCTAAATACACATTTCCTGTACCCCTAATAGCTTCCACAGTTTAGTAAACACATTCCACATACTACAATGAAAGATTTCACATCCAAACTTTTCTTCCACAGAGCATCCTGTATTTATTCATCCTTGAATTTTATGGAAGGAAAGGGAAGAACGTTGCAAGCATTTTTACGGCAATTGTACTGGGGACTGTTATAACACGTGGTTTGATTTTTAAGCTATCTAATAAGAAGCAGAACCCCGAGACTCAACGAGTATGTATTAGAAAGCATACATTATACCCTCTATCGAAAATTACGTAATTTGACAGTAAAATGTATAAGTAAGCCCATAATTACCTTAAGCGTCTGCCACACAGTCAACCCTCTGGGCTCACAAGTCAAAATATTGTGCTAGAGCTCACAGATAAGAGAGGCAAGGAGAAAAGGGAGGGCCGGGATACGACTTCAGGGTTAAACACTACCTTGAGCCACTTCCTCGACCCCGTGATTCAGAATCGTATGGGACTAAGAACACTTGCATGGGGAACAGTTTTTACAGCTATGGCAGGGTTATCAGGGGCAGCCTCCCCCTGGGTTTGATAAAAGAGCTTATGCTGTCACAGTCATACCACTTTGAAACACAGAACTCCTGCGACTACTACTTACCTGAAAAACAAAGCATTAACCACGTTTTAGCAATGCATGTTTGGAATAATTCACCCATTCACATCTTAAAAGCTGCAGTGCAATCTGCTTTTTGTGGACAGCAGAGATCCTGTGGCATTTTTCACAAGAGCAGGAGGTTTGCCACGTTTTTCTTGGCCAGAGTTTCCTGTCTCCCCCTACTACGTCTCATGGGTCTTAGCTGCTGCCTTCTGCAAAGCTGGCTACATTTCATGTTACTGTAGATAAATAGCTGTAAAATGCTATGTTGGAGCATAGAAGATGAAAAGCATTGTGCAATTCTTACAGGCATATCAAATAGAAGGTTTGCCCCACATGCAAAGAGCAATACTGACACACTGAACATGTATTTATTAATCAGTTACATCTGCTAGGCCCTTTCACCACCCTCACAGCATCAGATCCACTAACTGAGGTGCAGTTTCAAAAACATTGTATGAAAAAATCTGTGGGACTCACAGCATACAGAGATTCTCTTTGATTTCATATTCAAGCCTATGAATTTTGCAATAGGTAGAATTTAGGCTTTAATTTGTATTGGGCTTCTTTCCATGCCCATAGAGGAGAACTGCACAAGTAATTTTTAAGCATTTCAGGCACTGTCCAATAACTGAAATGCAATAGGAAAGTCTATAAGCTTCTCCTGAAGGCAACCCAGTATACACAAACTCACCCTCAACAATAAATCAGGGCCAGCTATGCCTGCATTGAAATGACAAGAACCATATGGTCTGTGGAATACCAAACATTCTTTTGCCCTGTTCTATGAGGGGTAAACGCTTCTATCCCTTGGGAACTTCTTGTGATTTTTCAGTGGTATTCACTGTGGTGCGCTCCTAAAGAAACATTACACAAAAGCTGGGGCATTTATTAAAATTATCAAAAAGTGATCAAATCAAGAATAAGACTGTGTGCAACTGCAAGTATCAGGACTGATTGTAGACCTGAGACTGAGTCTATATTCTTGGTCCCTACAAAAACCATCATCAAGTCCAGCAGAAGCTGTACAATAAAACTAAGTATATTGAGTATGTCTGCTATTCCTGCTGAAGTACCCAACAGGAATAGTAGCACTATTCACAAGATCCTAGAGGCAGAAAGGGAACAGAGGCAAACAGCAGAGAGTGAGAAAGGAGGGAGAACAGACAAGCAGCAGAGAAGCAGTAGGATACTCCAGCATTAGAGAAAATCACCTCCACCCTTCTCAGTGAAACGAAGAACTCCAAGGATACCTGACCTGCTGATACTGGAAAAGGCAACAGAAATAAAACCCGAAACACTCAGTAAGAGAATGGAAAATATGAAGATAACAAGGACAAAAAAGTAGAGCCTCAGTAGCAAGAATAAGCATACCAAATAGCAAGAGAAAAATCAAATGACAGGTGAGGAAGGTCACAAAAGATAAACTGTATTCTTCCATTTTCTCAACCTTTGCTTTTGAGAGCAGCTGGTATCATGGCAGACAGAGGAAGCTTTTGTACTTTGAGACTAACCTGCCATGGGAAACTGCTTGCAAATTTAGGGTTAATACCACATCCAGTCAGTTGTTTGGGAAGCACTATTCGGAAATAAGTTTGTTAAACTGACTATTTTGAAATCATAAAGAGTGTTGGAAAGGCAGAGATCTGAGTGGCACAGAGAAGAATTCTGAGATAATAATACAATCAAATGAGAACTTGAACTTGCAGAAATCCTGCCATAATCACATATCCATTGGTTTCAGTGAAGCAAAGATTACAGCCAACAACTGATGCACATAAACTGAAAACGTTCTCCAGGAAGGCTACAGAGATGCCTGATAAATAAAAGAATGTCCTGTAATGCAAAATATTATAATCATAACATGACAGAAAATGCAAATATTAAAACTTTTTTCAGTATTTCAAATGCAGTGTAGAAAAATAATTATACAGAAACCTATGGTTATTGACATTAAAATAGTTCAGGACAAGGATGTGTTGCTTAGAAACTGAATTTACAGGAAAGATCGAACACGCTGTTTTGCAAAAACCCAAGCATCACTTCTGGCCACTACTGAAGTCAGATAACAGCAATAAGAAATAAACGCATATATGCGAAAAATTATTGATGTTAATTAATGTGTTAACGATAAAACTGATGTGTTATGCACTCATGCTGAAGCCTGCATTTGTCAGAGAAAGGTAAATTAGCAACTGCTGCTTAATTTCCCTATGCTTTTGCTTTTACAGCTGGTAGAAGGTTTGCAAAGTACTTGAAAAACTTGACCCTTCTCCAGACTCCCCCGCATGAGTCACCCAACCTTCCTTCAGTCATTAGACTGCACTTCCTGCTGGGATCCAGCAATAAAACAAACGAGAGACACTGATTCTGGTCATGGTGAGGGAGGTAATAAACCAGTGACAGGTATCCTTATGAAATTCAACATTAATTCAACTATATTATACTTGACCAAGTGCCAATTCATGGCAATATTTATCTACGTATGATTCTATGATTCTAGGTAGTATCTTACTATTTCTAAAGACATTTTGAGGCACTCAGTTCATTCCTTGTCCTGAAAGCATACCTTGTTTACATACAGGCAAAAGGATTTGCTGCATTTTATGTGCTTCAGAAATACTACAGATAAAAACATTAAATTATTTGTACGTGTATATACTTAACATGATTCTGATAGTGTATAAACATGATTTTGACAGCATTATTAGAAGTAAATTTAAAGAAAAAAATCACAAATAATGTTCCAGTATTTCATGTCATTATCAAATCCACGTCAAATATTCTTTTGTCAAGTTTGAGATTTTTGGAAGTCAACTGCCAAAAAAAGTTCACTTTTTCCAGTTTCTTCAATTCACCATAACTCTCAGTTCTACCATGTTTTAAATACATTCACATTCCTGGGCAAACGCCACTTCTGTCTCCCCAAAAATAAATCCCAAATGAAACATCCATTAAGAGAAGTGATCATGCTCAGTCAGCCAAATTTAATAAGAAATTTACCCTTTTCTGTCCACAGATTCTCCTGGTATTTTAGTTCCAAACTTGCCTACTATTACAGTAACTGTGCTAAGAGAACTGCTGTCTCCATAAACTCCTTGGGTTCATTCCTCAGTGTACACAGGAGACACAACCCCTTTAAACTTCAAGGAGATCCCATTGCAGTGTAGAAGAGAAAAATTCAGAGATTATGGAATAATCATCTCCAAATCGATCAATTTCCCCCTGAAGGTAAAAAACTGAAAGAAAGAAAAAAGTTGAACAGTTCCAGCTTGCCTTCTTGAAGGGAAAGTACCCCCAGGGCATGTTGTAGAATGATCCCCATCTCTTTCTCCTGATGCTTATTAAGAGGTCATAGATCTCAGTTACACTACAGCATTCCCAAATGGTATCTCCAGCTAAGGACTATGACCTCTTAGTACAAGTACAGGGATATAAAATTAGGAATATTAGGGGTTCATACTAAGAAAGAGTCTGCCTCAACTATCAGTCCTTTTGGAAGAACAGTTGGAATTAATGGCATACCTCATGTCTTGTAAAAAACAGGAGTTCTAGCAAAAGGCACTGCGGGTTCCAGTGTTTCCCATAGGTGCAGCACCTTGTGCCAGGGCTAAATTTCTATCTCAACATCAAAGTGGATTTCCACAACAGAATATTCAATACAAAAGGTGTTTTTCTCCAAAAAGCACAAGGTATGGCTCAGAACATGCTGGGTGAATTAAGATGTGCTTTCTCTTTGTCTTAACCCTATTCCCTCTAACAGTCAGAGTATGGAAGCAGAAGTGATTACTCAGGTCATTACACCAAGACTAGGCAGGGCCTGGAATGTCTTAAAAGACCTTTCCACTGCAACAATTCATTTTTTTGTTTGTTTTGGGGGATTTTGTTTTGTTTTCATAAAAAGCTGATTTATTACACCCTCCAAATGATGCTTGAGAGGATAAACTGAGTCCATATAGGTGGTGTGTTAGTGAACTACCACACCACCTGGAAGCCTTAGCACTCTACAGCTGATTGTATAAATATAAATTAAGGTTCTTCTGCAACTGTATTAAGCAAAGCATTACAGAGCTGTGGGGCATTTTGTTACATTTGGCTTTCAAGCTATGAATTTAACTGCTTAACATATAAGTAATGATAATCTGTTGTACCTCCCATTCTGTTCATTTCTGAATGGTAATTAAAGCAAGCACCAATAATAAAAACAGCAAGTATTTCGAGAAAATTATTTTAGAAGGTGCAGCAAATTCACCACTTAAAAAGACCAGTTTGTAATGGCAACAAGAGCCATTTTGTAATACACCGACAATATATTATAAACATTACAGTAAAATAGAAGCATGGAATAAACAACAGGTATTTTAGTCTACAGTAGCTGATTCTCTGAAACACTGTACTGAATACATACCATAGGTGTGTACATGCGTATACATGCAAGACAATCATTACTTTATTTTTAATGGTGTGCCTCCTCTTCGAAACATATACATGAATTCCCATTGTACTGGGTAAAGGTCAGGGTAGCTCTGACCCCGTATCAGCAGCAGCTTTACAATTCAAAGTCTGTATTACTGAAGACTGTGAAAAGCAAGACAAGCTTGGCCACAGGATCCATATTGATTACAACAGTAATTGGAAGCAGCATAGTTATCATAGGGTAAGTAACAACTACTTTTTCTTCTTCACATATGTGCCAGTGCTGATGATTCCCACTGCCCCCTCCCTTCTCTCCCTGCAGGCAACCATCTTCCTTGGACAATAAGAATTCTGAATTTCAGCTGCATAGATCAAATAGTGATTATAGTACTGCTCTCCCAATACTGGAATGAGCTCTGGCAGTTCCATCCTCCACAGAATGTCTGATAAAGGTCAGTGGATTACCTCATGTCATCACCTGGCAGATATCAGAAATTGGAACCTCTTCTGAAACAGGAGGGAGATGTCACTCGAGCATTGGGAGAGCAAAGTTAATATTCAATGGGAAAGTCGCAGCAGCCAAATGGAGAGAAGTACCCTGTACTGCCCATTTGGAAATGCTCTGTGAGGAAACGGCTTGACCTTTAGAACACCCAGCAGTGGCTATAAATAAATGGAACAACAGACTATCAATGTAGTAAAGCAAAGTTCTGGATTTAGCTAGGGCAGATTTTTAACAGAACGCCAGGGAGGCATTTGAACTAAGTCTCAAAAAACTAGGGAGCTGTCTGAGTAAGTCAGTGCTGAGAGACAGGGATGATGATGTAGAACTAACTTGACAACCACAAAATGCCAAAGCCCGAATGTTATCATGGCCCCTCCCAGAGCCTAATGCTATAGCACACACCCACAGTGGCATGTTAGGTATGCCCAATTGATGCTTTCACAGTCCTGTCAAAAAAGCACCAGATAGACATGTCCTCTGGTATAACTTAGGACGGTGACCGTTAAGTCCTGCTGCTGCACCATGATATGGGAAGAAGAGGCTGAAGTAAGGCATACTGTTCACATAAACCTCTGAGGTACTCAGATTATGGGTGACAGGCACAAGGGGTCTTTTAAACCTGCAAAACGGTGTGCTGTCCTCAGTATTAATTCCTCATCTACACTGAAAGAGTGTTTACTTTAGAAGCTTTGAGCAGAAGTCATTAAAAGCATAGTTCGTATGTGTGATGCCCAAGTCCTGGGATGATTTGATTTATATTCCAGACAGGAATATATAGCTCGTGTGTGTAACACTACTTTGGCCAAACTCTGCTGCCATACACCATTTGCCCAGTAAGGCATGGATTGCTGCAAAATGAGTCCTAAGAGCCACAGACATGATGCTAGATTATTTAAATGTAGAAGACAGTTGAAAGGCAGTTACACCAATAACTACACCTGGTAACAGCTGCATTGGGTCTGCCTACACAAAACCCATTTGCCAACTATAGTCTCCAGTTGAGTGGTTTCTGCGGCAGACCAGCACTTCCTGGGCCAAGAAGGAGGTGTCTCTGTCCATGGTACTCAGTGAGGAAACTGCTTCCTCGTGGGTGGCACTGACACCAGCTTTGATCCAGTATCTTCCCAATCACGTTGGGAGTTCAGGTTCACACGGTTGTCAAGTCCTTGGTGGACACATACAGTAAATAAGCCAACTGAACTTATCCTTGCTAGTATGCGCTAGAAGAATCACCTGCCTTTTTTAGTGGTGGAAAATCAGGCTAAAAAGAAAGAGGAAAATAGGAAGCAAAAATTAAAGGGGGAGAGGGGAGAAGATAAATGAAAGATATACAGGAAGCACTCAGCCCCTTGGAAAACACCACTTGCTTCCTGTCCCACCTCCAAACAGAACAAAAGTTCTCAAGGGTACTGGCATTTACAATTTATGCTAATGAACAGGTCTATTACAGGGCTTTCCCAAGTCAAGAATAACAGTTCTATGATACAATCATCAGCTGCTTTCACTTGCAAAAGGTTACTGACAGACAACTCAGGAAGTGCAACATGCTGCTTTTAAAACACTCAAGAGGTGAAGATCTACTGGTTTTATGACTGATTAACAATTTCAACAGCAGAGACTAATGGTTTCCAAGCAAAACCAGAAGGAGTTTATGCCTCCTTGCCCATGTTGGCTATTCATCATGGACCTACTGTCTCTCAAGGTAAGCACAGGGTTTTGAAGAACAGCTATGCAGCCTACTTTCACAGTTTTCAGCCCTAGGATATAAAGTTCTCTCCATACTTGAGCAATACCAAGCTAGTTAGTATTTATACAGAATTTTGATATGAAAATCTAAGAACACAATTATCAAGACCTTCATCATCCTCCCTAGGAGCATGCAGTTTTGCATACAAAGTTCCGTATGGCAGATTCTCCAAATTGCTATGACTTTAGCACGTCTTGGACATTCTGTTATGCATGTAAAGACTTCACACTGCTCTCTAAATTCAAATTCATGATTTTTGGAGACAAAGGTTGTAGTTACCACCTTGTTCTCCCTTTTCCCCAGGTATCAAGGATTTGAAGTTGCAGATATGGGTCCTGGGCTACATTATTCTGAAAGGATGCAATTCCACAACATGCAAACTCAAAGAAGTATCACTGAACTACCATGTATGTTGGCTGGCACAGGAAACTGGAGGAGAGGGTCTGCTTTCCACTCTATCAGTCAAATAGAACATCATTTTGTGGATAACTCAAAAGTTTGTGGTCCAAAGCAAATGGAGAAGTAGAAGCATGTCTTTGTAGTACAACTGGGAAGCCCTCTAAGGAAAAAAAAGAGACCTAAGCTCAAGTCCCAAGTCAAAGCACTGTTTGTCTTTCATTCAATAACTGTTTAATGTAAAATCCATATGCAGTCCTTGGTGCAGGAATTCTCAAAAGAAACAGGGTGACTCTCTCAAGTGAAGTAACTGTACTTGGCAAACAGTGCTTGGCAGTGTGCCACTAACTGCAATAAGGCAGATGAATATGCTTTTGGTGCATCACAGATTTAACTTCTTAGAGTCCTTGTCCTCAGAAGCACTTTCATCAAGCTCAGATTTTTCTCTGTACTGCAGAAATGACCAAGGACTCTTGCCCTGCATCTTTCCTCCACACAGGCAGTGGAAACTGAAAAAGCAATGGCAAGATCTGCAATGTATTTGGGCAGCTCTAGGATTACTTTGATAGCAGGAAGGGCAACTCTAGCTAGGATATCAAAGAATGACACCAAGTGCTCACAAGATTTATCTTTGTAGTCTCACTGTGCACTGCATACATCCTTTGGGACAAAATCCCCTGGAAAGTTTTCAAGTCTTCCAGTGAAGGAGATGGTTCTGTCATTACCAACTCATTCAGAAAGATGAAAGATTCCTGGGCACTAGGAAGAAGAGAAAAGAGGCAAGAGAAGGAAAGTATTACAGTGGAATCTCTATTACCTTGCCATTTGGTAAGTCCATGATCACCCATGGTGCATGCTGTCTGTGAAGCTGTTAGGTAGCACAAGCTCTTATTTCTAGACATGCAAGGATGTGTTTCTCAACCACACAGGAGGATGGTATCTAGGAAAATTAACTTTGGCCATAACTGGAAACACAGAATTATTGACTTTGCTAGAAGTTCCCAGCCTAGTGATACTCCAGTGCTGATGGAGAGCAGCACTCAGAAAAATTGGGCTCCAGTATATCTGCTGGAATTATTTTCATAGGGCTTCTGAGAGGAATTTCTGAGGTGAGAGAGAGCAAGATTGCATCCTCTCATTGGCAGGGGACACACAGCTATAGCCAATAACCTTTTCAACACCAGAAACAACTTAGGGGGTAACATGTATGGCTGTCAGCTCGACCTGACATACTTACTCAACCTGTGAAAGCTCCAGCAGCAAGCTAGAGGGCAAAGCATAAAACTAAGTCCACCTAGTCACCTAAAGGTAAAATATATATCCCCAGTGGAGAAATATCTCATCTATTTTACCTCAGAACACCCTTAGTCTTGAAGGTACTATGATTCAGTAGCCTTCTTTCGGGGAAGTTTTACAGCCTGTAATGCCAATGGGGCTAGTAGGGAAGTCCTGCAACACACACTAGGTCTACTGACATTCAGGTGGAAGATTGTGTACCAGTATGTCCATTGTTGTTGAGTTATTCAACAACTCAGCCAACTAGGCTGCCATCTTCACTGTGTGTCTGACTGCAAGCAAGGCAGCATGATAAGATGCTCTTTTTTCTAGTATTACTTTGGTTACGGCTGAGACTTGTGATGCCAAGGCAACCTACAGGATCTTCAAAAGAACCAAGCTTGAGTTGAATGCCTCTGACAGAATCGCGCAGCAGAGAGGCAGCTCTCATGTGTACAGAGGAGACTTCACAGAGTACAATCACTGAGAAATAGGATTGTTCTCTATGTGCTGTGAAGGGAGAGGAGATTGTAAGCCAAGAAAGAGAAGATTAGGGAAAGCATCTGACAAACTGTGCCCTACCAACAGCATATAAGGCAGCATTGCAAAAGGTTAAGTTTCTTTTCCTGTTGGCAGAAGTAGGAGAGAATGTGCAGTTGAGGATTTACCAGTAGTACACCACATTTGAACCTGCATGCATGTTTCTACAGTGGGATCCAAACTGATGCATACTAGAAGGACATCAGGTTCATAGTCATGCTAATTATATCCTTTACTTATATACACAACTTGGAGGATGATAATGTGCAAGTGGCTCATGAGTATTAAATGGAAATGCTGCAGGAAGGACAGAGTGAAAAAAGTATTAACATCAGACAGGAACACTATTAAATCTACATTTTTGTTGCCAATCTTTTGGAATGACTAAATTAATATAGTGCAGCATCTTATCTGCCCATGATTACAAGTATTTCAAAGATTTATTTTTTTTTTTACTTTTTCCCCATTTATCCATTATCTGTATTCCACAAACATCACAGGAATTGTCAGCAATTAACATAAATAAATCATCACCTTTTCTGAGAAAGCTTCAGTACATGAATTTCAGATGATAGCAAAAAAAATATTACCAAATAGCTCATGAAGGGCCTGTTCCATTCCCCACTGAAGTCAATGGGAATCTTTTCATTGACTTCAATGGATATTGGAGCAGACCCAAATTGAAAAGATCAATAGTGCACACATTACGATGAAAGAGCAGTTATGCCCTCCTCTAGAGAAAGAACATGAGTTCAAGTCAAACAACAGATTACAGGAAGAAACCAGTTGGGGAGAACTTTTTTCTTCTCCTTTGAAAAATTTTGCAAGAGAACAGCAATTCAAGATCCTCAGAGCTAAATTTCACAGCCTTTAAGAAATACTCCTCTTCCACTAACCTAGGTGGGGTACACACATTATATAATGTACAGGTTAGGTAATTCTTCAGTACCAGAGATCAGGCCCAGATGGAAAGTTCATATATCAGGGTAGATGATATACTCTGCCCTCCTCCAGAGACAATACAGTTGACTCAAACCCCAGAATATAGTAGAGAAAATTCAATTTTGGTAAACCTCTTGCCTATCTTTTAACAACTTACTGACAGACAAAATACATTAGGGTGCCTACTGGTTTCACTGGAACTCCCAAGAGCAACCAGAGCAATTATGCAAAACTCTGCTGCATCAGAAGACTGTGATGAGAAAGGGAGGTGCAACCACACCTACACAGTCATGCTTTTTTTGAAGACTTTGAATCTGAGCATGGCGCCCACAGGCACTGGTGGAAGCCCAAGAAAAAGGCAAGAGACCAGGGAACTTGCCTAAAATGCTAAAGGGAATCCTTATTTTCATTTAATAGGTATTGTGCTTCAGAAGAGAAAGGTAAGCAGCTTGTCAACTGTTTGTCACTAATTAACTAAAAATAATGTAAAGCAATGAGGTTTTCTTAAAGGTTGTGTCCTTAGTTTTAGGCCAGACATGCAGCTTAAGACCCTGCATTGAATTCAACTCACTAACAACCTCCTTAG